CGGGCTTTCACCCATGGGGCCCAGCCGGGCCCAGCCGGGCCCAGCCTGAACCGGATACATGGGCTCATCCAACTGTGGACCCACCACCCGCAGGAGGAACATGAAGGGTCCGGTGCAGTGTGGATCGGGTGGCAGACGGAGGCGGGAGCCTTGGCGGTCCGATCCCCGGACAAGGAAACTGGTTTTTGGGAAATGGAACGTCACCTCGCTGGCGAGGAAGGAGAAGGAGCAGGAGCTTGTGGCAGATGTTGAGCGGTACCGGCTAGATATAGTCGGACTCACCTCGACACAAAGCATTGGCTCTGGAACCCAAGTCCTTGAGAGGGAGTGGATACTCTCCTTTGCTGGAGTTGCTCCGGATGAGAGGCGGAGGGCTGGGGTTGGCTTTTTGTTAGCCCCAAGACTCTCTGCCTGTGTGTTGGGGTTTACCCCGGGGGATGAGAGGGTAGCTTCCCTGCCCCTTCGGGTCGGGGAACGGGTCCTGACTGTTGTTTGTGCTTATGCGCCAAATATCAGTTCAGAGTGCCCACCCTTTTTGGAGTCCCTGGGACGAGTGCTAGATAGTGCTCCATCAGGGGACTCCATTGTCCTGCTGGGGGACTTCAATGCTCACGTGGGCAACGACAGCTTGACTTGGAGGGGTGATTGGGAGGAACGGCCGCCTGATCTGAACTCAAGTGGTGTTTCGTTATTGGACTTCTGTGCAAGCCGCAGTTTGGCCATAACGAACATCATGTTCAAACATCGGTACACTTGGTACCAGGGCAACCCAGGTTGCAGGTCAATGATAGACTTTGTAGCCGTATAATCTGACCTGTGGCCGTATGTTTTGGACACTCGAGTGAAGAGAGGAGCGGAGCTGTCAACTGATCACCACCTGGTGGTGAGTTGGATCAGATGGCAGGGGAAGATACCGCGTAGACCTGGCGGACCTAAACACATAGTGAGGGTCTGCTGGGAACGCCTGGCAGAAGAACCTGTCAAGACGGTCTTCAACTCCCACCTCCGGCAGAGCTCTGACCACGTCCCGAGAGCAGTGGGGTACATTGACTCCAAGTGGGCTTTGTTCCACTCTGCGATTGTTGAGGCGGCTGTTGCTAGCTGTGGTCGCAAGGTGGCCGGTGCGAGTCGCGGTGGCAACCCCCGTACCCGCTGGTGGACACCAGAGGTTTGGGGAGCCGTCAGGCTGAAGAAGGAGGCCTACAGGGAGTGGCTGGTCTGTGGGTCTCCGGAGGCAGCAGACAGGTACCGAATAGCCAAGCGGGGTGCAGCAGTGGCAGTTGCCGAGGCAAAATCTCTGGCGTGGGAGGAGTTTGGTGAGGCCACGGAGAAAGACTATCGATCAGCTCCAAAGAGGTTCTGGCAAACTGTCCAGCGCCTCAGCAGAGGAAGGCAGCAACTCGCTCACACTGTTTACAGTGGGGATGGGGAGCTTCTGACATCAACTGGGGCTATAGACGGACGGTGGAAGGAATACTTTGAGGAGCTCCTCAATCCCACCTATGCACATTCCGAGGAGGAACCAGAGCCGGGAGACCTGGGGATGGACTGTCCAATCTCGGGGGCAGAGGTTGCTGAGGTAGTCAAACAACTACACTGTTGCGGAGCCCCGGGGACGGATGAGATTCGTCCTGGGTATCTCAAGGCCATGGATGTTGTAGGGCTGTTGTGGTTGACACGTCTCTGCAACATTGCGTGGTCATCGGGGGCAGTTCCTGTGGAGTGGCAGACCGGGGTGGTGGTCCCCATCTTTAAGAAGGGTGACCTGAGGGTGTGTTCCAACTATAGGGGGATCACACTCCTGGAAAGGTCTACTCCAAGGTACTGGAGAGGAGGGTCCAATCGATAGTTGAATCTCAGGTTGAGGAGGAGCAATGTGGTTTTCGTCCTAGCCGTGGAACTGTGGACCAGCTCTATACCCTTGCAAGGGTGATGGAGGGGGCATGGGAGTTTGCCCAACCAGTGCACATGTGTTTTGTGGATTTTGAGAAGGCTTATGACCGTGTCCCCAGGGGCACCCTGTGGGGGACGCTCCAGGAGTATGGGGTGGGTGGCTTTCTGTTAAGGGCCATTCAGTCCCTTTACCAGAGGAGCGTGAGTTTGGTCCGCATAGCTGGTAGAAAGTCGGACCTGTTCCCGGTGAGGGTTGGACTCCGCCAGGGCTGCCCTTTGTCACTGGTTCTGTTCATTACCTTTATGGACAGAATTCCTAGGCACAGTTGTGGTGTGGAGTGTGTCGAGTTTGGTGGCAGGAGAATCTCGTCTCTGCTTTTTGCGGATGATGTGGTCCTCCTAGCTTCATCCCGCTCTGACCTCCAGCTCTTGCTGGGTAGGTTCGCGGCAGAGTGTGAAGCGGCTAGGATGAGGATGAGCACCGCCAAATCTGAGACCATGGTTCTCGACCAGAAAAGGGTGGATGCCAACTCCGGGTTGGGGGAGAGGTCCTACCTCAAGTGGAGGAGTTTAAGTATCTCGGGGTCTTGTTCACGAGTGAGGGTAGGAGGGATCGGGAGATCGACAGGCGGATTGGTTCGGCGTCTGCAGTGATGCGGACGCTGAGCCGATCTGTCGTGGTGAAGAGGGAGCTGAGCCAGAAAGCCAGGCTCTCGATTTACCGGTCAATCTACGCCCCAATCCTCACCGTTTTGGGTAATGACCGAAAGAACGAGATCGCGGATACAAGAAGCCGAAATGAGTTTCCTCCGTAGGGTGGCCGGGCTCAGCCTTAGAGACAGGGTGAGGAGCTCGGACATTCGGGAGGGACTCGGAGTAGAACCGCTGCTCCTCCGGATCGACAGGAGTCAGTTGAGGTGGTTTGGGCATCTGGTCAGGATGCCTCCTGGACGCCTCCCTGGGGAGGTGTTTTGGGCATGTCTTGCTGGCAGGAGACCCCGGGGTCGACCCAGGACACGTTGGAGAGGTTACATCTCCAATCTGGTTTGGGAACGCCTTGGGGTCCTGCCGGAGGAACTGGTGGAGGTGACCGGGGAGAGGACGGTCTGGAGCTCCCTAGTTGGGATACTGCCCCCGCGACCCGGACCCAGATAAGCGGAGGAAGACAACGACGACGAGTTTCTTTAGGCTCCTCCCTGGGCTGTCACCTTACCGTGGTGCAGGGGTTTGAGTGTCCCAATGATCCTAGGAGTTAAGTTGTCTGAGGCTTTATGCCTCTGGTAGGGACACCCATGGCAAACAGGTCCTAGGTGAGGGATCAGACTAACAGCAGCCCAAAGACTCTTTATGAAGAAAAACGTCAATGGAAACCGTGTTCCCTCGCCCGGATGCGGGTAACCGGGGGCCTCCTCTGGAGCCAGGCCTGGAGGCGGGGTATATTGGCGAGTGCCTGGTGGCCGGGCTCCATGAGTGAAAGCCCAAAGAGGAAACGTGGGTCCCCCTTCCCATGGGCTCACCACTCGTGTGCAGTGTGTGACAGGTGTCAACTGACCACTACCTGGTGGTGAATTGGCTTTGATGGTGGGTGAGGATGCCTGTCAGACCTGGCAGGCCCAAACATATTGTGAGGGTCTGGCAGAGTCTCCTGTCAGAAGGAGCTTTAATTCCCACCTCCGACAGAACTTCCAAAATATTCCGGGGGAGGTGGGGGACATTGAGTCCGAATGGGCCCTGTTCTGTGCCTCCAATGTTGTGGCGGCTGACCGGAGCTGTGGCCGCAGGATTGTCTGTGCCTGTCATGGTGGCAACCCCTGAACCCGCTGGTGGACACCGGTGGTTAGGCATGCCATCAAGCCGAAGAAAGAGTCCTAACAGGCCTTTTTGGCCTGTGGGACTCCAGAGGCAGCTGATAGGTACCAGCAGTCCAAGCAGCATGCGGCTCGGGTGGTCGCCGAGGCAAAAACCCAGGCATGGGAGGAGTTCAGTGAGACCATGGAGAAAGACTTCCGTACGGCTTTGAGGAGATTCTCGTCCACCATCCAGCGCCTCAGGAGGGGGAAGCAGTGCGCTACCAACACTATCTATAGTGGGCAGCCGTAGCTCAGGTGGTAGAGCGGGTTGCCTCATGATCGGAGAGTCATGGGGTCGATTCCAGCTTCCGCCAGGGGTATCCTGCTGTTGTGTCCTTGAGCAAGACACTTCACCCAACTTGCCTGTGTTAGTGGTGGTCAGAGGGGCCGACGGCGCCAAATGGCAGCCTCACCTCGGTCAGACCGCCCCAGGGCGGCTGTGGCTACAAGTAGCTTACCATCACTAGCAGTGTGTGAATGTGAGAGTGTGTGAAAGCGTCTTTGCGGGTCTTGAAACGCGCTATATTATTATTATTATTATTATTATTATTATAGTGGGGACGGTGTGCTGCTGACCTCTACTCAGGACGTTGTGGATCAGTGGGACGAATACTTCGAAGACCTCCTCAATGGCATGTCTTCCAGTGAGGAAGCAGAGTCTGGGAACTTTGGGTTGGCCTCTCAAATCTATGGTGCTGAGGTCACTGAGGTGTTCAAAAAGCTCCTCTGTGGCAAGGCTCTGGGGGTGGATGAGATCTTCCCGGAGTTCCTTAAGGCTCTGGATGTTGTGGGGCTGTGTTGGCTGACGCAGCTCTGCAGTATCACGTGGACATCGGGGGCAGTCCCCCTGGACCGGCAGACCGGGGTGGTGGTCCCCTTATTTAAAAAGGGGGACCGCAGGGTGTGTTCTAACTACAGGGGGATCACACTCCTGAGCCTTCCTGGGAAGGTCTATTCAGGGGTTCTGGATGGTGCATGGGAGTGTGCCCAACCAATCTACATGTGCTTTGTGGATTTGGAGAAGGCGTTCGACCGCGTACCTCGGGAAGGCCTGTGGGGGTGCTTTGGGAGTATGGGGTAACAGGCCTTCTGATGCAGGCTGGCATACAAAATGCGCAATAGTTCAGACGCCTATGCTCAAACTGTTGTCTCTTCTTTATGTTGCATGTTTTAACTCCTCGAACATTCACTCTGTCAGGAATAATGATGCCATTTAGGTCGAACAACAATTTATTTTGTCTCCATGTGTTTCTGCAGAGCAAGCAGAGGAGGAGCTGAAGGAGTTCAGTCCGTACTACAGGAAGCAGTTCTCCGTGGCCCGATTCTCTCAGGTGGAAGATGAACTGGAGCAGAACAAACAGAAGATCACACAGCTGCTCAAACAAAAGGTTAAAGCCCATGCTCGGCAAATCTTCATAATGTTAGATTATTCTCTTGGGCCAGTGTGTGCTAAAATGACCCTTCACAGGGTTAATGGAATGTCACTCAGCCCCCTCCAACCCTTGTGACCAGAATAACACACTTGCAACTTCAGAGTATCTGGACTGCTCCCATGAAGTCTCACAAAGTCATGATTAACGGGAATTCATGTTTAACCTGTGGACAGACGAGCTATACCTGGTTAGCATTTATTTTAGAATGTTTATCTTGGTGGAGCCTCAGAAGAGACAACGAAAACATTTTGTTTATCGTTATTGTTGTAAACGGTCCTTGGGTGTCATGAAAGGTGCTTCAAAATAAAATGTGTTATTATTATTATTTATCTGATGAAGCTAAAAAAAAATAAAAACAACATCCGACCACAAAAGGAATTAAGTGAGAGTCAACATTGGGAGTTTTCTGAATCATGAGAGCTCAGAGACAAATAAGGATTCAATTCGAATGCAAACATAATGATCATCCTTTTGCACTTGTAAGTACAACTTTAATATGGTTTATTTGTGCATGTTTTTTTCTGAGAGTTTGTAAGTACAGACATGAACAAAATGGTTGGTACCCTTCGGTCAATGAAAGAAAATCCCTCAATGGTCAAAGAAACAACAAGAATCTGACAAACGTAATAATAAATTAAAGCTGCAAGCAGCGTCGTTCGGCCCTCGCAGCGAAGCTGCTCTCCCTTCCTCCGCACCCCCTCCACCCCATCCCCGATGCTCTCGGAACCCACCGCCCTGCGACCGGTGGCGCACGAGCAGCCATGTGCGCCAGACACTTCTACGTGCGTTCAACTGCGATAACTGAGCTGTCACCCCAATCGGACTGAACATTTCCTCCTAGCCTGTCAATATACTCTGTAACTCATTACGAGGTGGTACAATAACCCACCTTCATAAAACAGTCTGCAATGCTTTGCTCAGTTACCACTATAAATGTTTTACATTAGCAAAATATCCCAGCTTCTAAAGAGACTCCTTGTAGGTCCTAAGACATTGCATAGGTGTACAAAATTTCACTCTCCTCAGTCAAAGCATGACTTGGGTCTGACATTTTTAATGGAGCTAGGGGGCGCTAGTGCAAAAACTAAGTTACGCCCACCACATTTTCAGGTTAATACCTATTGAGGTTTGGATTTGTATCAATCAGCTGAATTGCTGTAGCAATAACATCAGAATTGAGGAAATGAGAAGCAAATGTACACTCAACAAAAATATAAACGCAACACCTTTGTTTCTGCTCCAATTTTTCATGAGATGGACTTAAAGATCTAAAATTCATTCCACATACACAATATTACCATTTCTCTCAAACATTGTTCACAATTCAGTCCAAATGTGTGATAGTGAGCACTTCTGCTTTACTGCGATAATTCATCCCACCTCACAGGTGTGCCACATCAAAATGCTGATCTGATATCATGAGAAGTGCACAGGTGTTCCTTATAATGCCCACAACAAAAGGCCACCCTGGAATGTGCAGTTTGTTCGCTTTATTGGGACCGCCATTTGCCTCATGCAGTGCAACACATCTTCTTCGCATAACGTTTATCAGATTGTCAATTGTGGCCTGTGGAATGTTGGTCCACTCCTCTTCAACGGCTGTGCGAAGTTATTGGATATTAGTGGGAACTGGTACACGCTGTCGTATATGCCGGTCAAGCACATTCCAAACATGCTGAACTGGTGACATGTCCAGTGAGTATGCTGGCCATGCAAGAACTGGGACATTTTCAACTTCCAAGAATTGTGTACATATCCTTGCAACATGGGGCCGTGCATTATCTTGCTGAAACATGAGGTGATGTTCATGGATGTACGGCACAACAATGGGCCTCAGGATCTCATCACGGTATCTCTGTACATTCAAAAGGCCATCAATAAAATGCACCTGTGTTCTTCGTCCATAACAGATGCCTGCCCATACCATAACCCCACCACCACCATGGGCCACTCGATCCAAAACATTGACATCAGCAAAGCGCTCACCCACACGATGCCACACACACTGTGTCTGCCCTGAACAATGTAAACCGAGATTCATCTTTAAGAGAACACCTGTCCAACGTGCCAGACGCCATCGAATGTGAGCATTTGCCCACTCAAGTCTGTTACGGCGACGAGCTGGAGTCAGGTCAAGATCCCAATGAGGACGACGAGCATGCAGTTGAGCTTCTCTGAGACGGTTTCCGACAGTTTGTGCAGAAATTGTTTGGTTATGCAAACCAATTGTTTCAGCAGCTGTCTGAGTGGCTGGTCTCAGACAATCTTGGAGGTGAACCTGCTGGATGTGGAGGTCCTGGGCTGGTGTGGTTACACGTCGTCTGCGGTTGTGAGGCCGGTTGGATGTACTTCCATATTCTCTGAAATGCCTTTGGCGATGGCTTATGGTGGAGAAATGAACTTTCAATTCTCGAGCAACAGGTCTGGTTGACATTCCTGCTGTCAGCATGCCAATTGCACGCTCCCTCAATGCTTGTGGCATCTGTGGCATTTTGCTGTGAGACAAAACTGCACATTCCATGGTGGCCTTTTATTGTGGGCAGTCTAATGTACACCTGTGCACTACTCATGATGTCGGATCAGCATCTTGATGTGGCACACCTGTGAGGTGGGATGGATTATCTCAGCAAAGCAGAAGTGCTCACTATCACACAGTTAGACAGATTTGTGAACAATGTTTGAGAGAAATGGTAATATTGTGTATCTGGAATTAATTTTAGATCTTTAAGTCCATCTCATGAAAAATCGGAGCAGAAACAAAGGTGTTGCGTTTATATTTTTGTTGAGTGTATGTACACATGTGTACATGTACACATGAGGTAAGAAAATCTTACCGTTTATTTCAACATAAGGTTACATGGAGCACCGCACTGTTGAGTGGGCTGGCTCACGGTGTGTTGGGGTCCATCGGGTCTTTTCTTCAGTCTAGTAGTGGTGCCTGATTTTTATAATTTATTGCTCGACGTAGAAAAAATTTAATATATCAGCCCGATATATCGGCTGACTGATATCAGTTGGCCTCTAGCCAAAATACCTGCTGGAAGTGCAGACATCTCACTGAAAGTACAGGAAGGGTTAGATTGCAGCAATCGCCTCAAAATGTTGTGCAACAAAATATTACGTTAGGGGTACCGTCATTTTTGTCCAGGGAACTTCAGCAGCTTTCCGAGGCTCATCCGGAGAACCGTCGGCTCCTGACGTGGAAAAGTAGAGGCGAGTCTGGAATGAAATGGAAAGCACTTCCTCTAAAATGTGAAAGGGCTGATGGGAAACAAGAACATCAACTCAGTCTGAACCAATAAATAAATAATGAACAGAAAGTAGAAGCTAAAGGAACCATCAGGTTGGACCTTCTAAAAGCTCCTCTAGGTTCTGGTCTGGACTCAGTTTGTTTCTGTTTTCTGGTGATCATGATTCTGTTGCATGACCCGGTTTGTTCCAAGCTTCAGACAAACGATCAAACATCAAACTTAAGAACACTTTAGGATCTAAGGGACTTCACATTAGACTCAGAAACTCAGATGTTGGTGCTGCTTTGCATTATGGGTAATCATTTCCACTTTGGTCTTGTGATTTCTTCAGAAGATCCGTTCTCCTGCTACCCTTGTATAAATAATTCAGACCTTTTCTATTTGTCCTACATGTTCTACATGTCCTACACAACCAGCCAATGAGGTTCTTTGAGCCTGAGATGGAGCTCTTAGATCTCGTGTGTTGACCCGGATGTTCTGATTTGCAAAACCTCAGACTTTAGAGAGGACAAAAAACATTATTCTGCCACATTTTGTTCCCTTGAACGCACCATCTCCAGGGACCTCCAGAGGAGGGTGAAGTTATGTATGAGGAGGGCATCCATTACTTTGACGACACTCGGAAGTGGCGGGAGCGGTACGTGGTGGTGAGAGCCAACTACTGCCTGGAGTGCCATGAGAGCCTGGAGGTAAACATGAACCCGGACCGGTATTTATCAGAATGAGATGTTCACTGATCATTAAACAGTTCCTTCTTCTGCTTTTAGTCTTTTGTTAAAGGTGTTCCTCCACGCCACAAGCTGCTGCCTACAGGGGGCACTGTTCTGACTGCAGAAGACAGTTACATGGCCATGGTGGACAAATGCTTTCCTGGAGACAACAGTGAGTTCAGATCCAGAAAACCGTTTTATTTGATCCAGTTTTTTTGTTTTAGAGCATTATTTCCTAAAGGAGCCAGATCTTGTTATTTTGAACCTTTGAGAACAAAGGTAGGCCCGGTATACGATAAAATATCACCGTTGGTACCATTGACATGTCATTTATCTTAAATACGAGGGATTTTCATCAGCCTGTATTTATACCCGGACATGAAACAGGAATGAGATCTGCCCAGAGTTCCTTAAGCCTCTGGATGTTGTGGGGCTGTGTTGGCTGACGCGGCTCTGCAATATCGTGTGGACATCAGGGGCAGTCCCACTGGACTGGCAGACCGGGGTGGTGGGACTGCAGGGTGTGTTCCAACTACAGGTGATCACACTCCTCAGCCTCTCTGGTGAAGTCTGTTCAGGGGTTCTGGAGAGGAGGGCCTGTTGAATTGTCGAACCTCAGATTCAGGAGGAAAAATGTGGTTTTTGACCTGGACCTGGAACACTGGACCAGCTCTATACCCTTAGGGGTCCTGGAGGGTGCGTGGGAGTTCATCATCCAGTCTACATGTGTTTGTGGATTTGGAGAACGCGGTTGCCCATGTCCCCTCGGGGGCCCTGTGGGGGGTACTCCGGTAGTATGGGGTACCGGGCTCTTTGATACTGGCCGTTAGGACCCTGTATGACCGGTGTTAGAGCTTGGTCTGCATTGCCGGCAGTAAGCCGATTTTGTTTCCGGTGAGGGTTGGCCTCCGCCAAGACTGCCCTTTGTCACCGATTCTGATTTCTAGGCACAGGCAAGGTGTTGAGGGGATCAGTGTTGGTGGCCTGAGGATCAGGTCTCTGCCTTTTGCAGATGATGTGGTCCTGTCGGCTTCATCAGAACGTGATCTCCAGCTTGGCTGGAGCGGTTCGCAGCCGGGATGAGATTCATGTTTAATCCAGAATAGATCTGATTAACACATGAACAGCATTAATGCGTGGTGGCACAGTTGCCTCGCAGCAAGACGGTTGCAGGTTGGAAACCCAGCTGTGATCTTTCTGCGTGGCGTTGCGTGTTCTCTCCATGCACGCGTGGGTTTCCTCCGGGTACTCCGGTTTCCCCCACACATCCCAACATGTCCTATAGGTTAACGATTGTACGTCACTTTGGATGAAAGCGTCTGCCACATAAATGAACATAAACCTTTACTGTTATAACCTAAGTGCACCGGGTCATTCAACATTCTCTTGTTTCAGATGTGAAGGAGGACTTTGCACCTCCTGTGTCAGGAATGCCGGGACCGTTCCCGGTATACCTGCGTCTGCCCTACAGGATGGACTGGTACTTCTGCTTCAGGCAGGAGGAGAGGCGGGCCGCCTTCATCTCCATCCTGTCAGACTGCATCAGGCACCAGAACCAAGGTGGGGACAAATAACCTGACGCTCCTCTTTAAATGTTTGTTCCTGTAAATGAATCGTTGTTGCCGAGGCGACTTTTCGTTCTTCGGTTCCACTGAGTGGAGGAGAAGGAACCGATGTAAACGTGAATGAAACAGTTCTCACAAGTTCGACTGAAATCAGAATCAAACCAACAGATAAAGGATGAGAGCAGCTTCCCATGGACCTCTAACCTGACTAAATAATGCAGCCAGTCGTGGAGTTTACTGATAAAGCAAACAAAATAAAGCATCTGGTTACTCGTCAGCCTGCAGCTGCTTCTATAAAACCACAGAGGCAGCTGCTGGAAGTGGTACGTCACTCACATCTGCAGTGGTCTCTAGTAGAGAGGGAATGCCTTGTAGCACATACTCAGGGGAAAAAAAGCTCTAGTGCAGCCCAAAGTTTCCGCACCACGCACCTAGGAAATGTTCTAACCATGTGGATGGTCCTGTGTGGAAAAACATGGCGGAGTGGCAAGCACCCGTAGTGGCGGAGGCTCGTAAGTGCAGACATCTTTATGATTCGACCAATAAAGATCACCGTGATCAAAATATCGTTAATTACTGCCGCCACAGTTGGAAACGACGGGACACGGTGAAAAAATGTTGTGAACAACAGAGATTTATACTTCTGCCATGATATAACGTTGGATGCGTGCCGCAGAGCTCTGGGAGAATGTTGTCTCACAGCGGAGACGAGCTGCAGGAGGTCCGACTCGGTTTCCATAACGCACAAGGGTCAAGCATAAACCCAGCTTTAGTAATCCACAGGCCTCCAGGGTCATGCGCTCTAGAAAACTTCAGTGTTCATGTTGAGGATGCAAACAACAAGTCTGCAGAACACTTTCTTGAGGTGCTTGAATTATTTGATCTCCAACAAAATGTCCACAGTCAGACCCACGATCTGGGATGAACTCTGGACTTAATCCTAACCCAACACGTGGATGTGTGGAACATGGTTGTTGAGGATGCGGGTCTATCGGACCTTTTCTGTGTTCTCTCTGAGATATCCGTGTCACCGGCTACACACCAAACCTCAGCTGTTCTCAAAAAGGTACCTGGGTGATCACCTGCATCAGTTTTTATAGAACGCATGAATAAGTCTGACAACCAGCTGTGCTGATTCACTTTTAAATCACTTCTACTGCAAAACTCTTGAAGTCCTCGACACCGTTGCACCAAAAAGGTCAAACTCACCTGTAGCAAACACGAAGCTCCATGGAGGTTCACCACATCAGTTACAGATCAGAGAAGAGAACGCAGCAAAGCTGAGCGTCGCCTACCGGATGACTACGAGGCCTCAGAGTGCAGCTGCACACTTACAACTCCAGTCATCCGTGGTCATATTAGCCCGTGTTCTGTAAGCTACTAGTGAGAGGCTAACTAGTCTCCCACACTGTTAAACCCTGGTTTCATTTCCCAAACGAAGTCTAATGAGTTAGCCTCCTTTTTCAACCAGAAGATGGTAAACATCAGACCATCCATCACAGCCAGACCACAGCTGCAGCCACACAGCTACAGTCTGACTAGAACAGCAGCTCTCGGCGTGATCAGAGCTAAACCGCTGGAGAACATAGTTAAGGTTCTGCTCACCCACCTGCTGCCTGGACAACCTGCCAACTCACTTCTTCTAAAAGCGTTTAGCTGCTTAGAAGCTGCTGGAGTGAGACTGTTAACTGTTCCTTAATATCAGGTATGTTCCTCCATCAGTGAAACTGCTGCTGTTGAGCTCTTCTAGAGAGAAGGAAACTAGATCCTCGGTGATGAAGAACTACAGACCATCTCTAACCTCCTTGCATGGAACATGACAGAAGAAGCTGCTCTGATCCAGCTGAACAGCTTTTAGAGACGAGCTGCTAGATGGTCTCCAGTCAGGCTGTAGACAACACCACAGCACTGATGACAGTATTACATGATGTTGGTCTACATCCAGGTTCAGGTAGAACATCTGTCCTGATGATGCTCCATCTCACTGCAGCTGTTGATACCGTGGACCACAACATCCTTCTGATAGGTTCATAACCTGGGTGGGACCTTCAGGTACAGTCCATAGTTGCTTCTGATCTTATCTACAAGACAGGGTTGTGCTGTTTCTGCTGGTGATCACAAACCAGAGCTGTTCACCATGACATGTGGGGTCCCCCAAGGCTCAGTTCTTGGACCACTACATGCTCCCCCTGGTCAGGTCATAGACAATAACACCGTCACCTATCATAGCTATGCAGATGACACCCAGATCTACCTAGCTCCATCACCTAGTGACTGTGGTCCCCTAGACTCACTCAGTCAGTGTTTGGAGCAACTTAAGGACCGATGCAGTCAAACCTCCTGCAGTTAAACGACGACT